ACTCTGATTGCACAAGGTAAATGGGCTTATACCAGGTAATAGCCGATAATTAGCTACCGGTGGAAAGCAAACCTATCAAACCAAACAGGTTTGGTTGATTGGTGTCTTCACATGTAAAACCGCTACCTAGTTCATCGGATCATTTGCTGAAATGAGAGAGTTGAATGTAAATCTATATCGCTCTAGGATTTAGTGTGAGGATTAGCATAAAGCAAATCAGTTGTTTTTAACACTTCATCTGCAGTAATAGTAAAATGAGTGTTGGTAATGATGATGCAATCTGCTATGCTAGTACTTACTGTAATTGCCGCTAATGTTGACTACATTAGTGGAATGAATCTGTTGAGTGGCCAGCAATTTTAGAAAGGTGTCATGACACTTGCCTTAGAAAAAAATGTGTATGCTAACACTGTTTCACTGTGAAACCATCACAAATCAATGTAAGATATAATTGTTAAAGTAAAATAAATAATTGTTTATTCTTGTGATGCCAAAGCTGAAGTCTTCAGTGTCACATGATCCTGTCATGATGCTGATTTGGTGTTTTAATTTGCCTTGCTGAATAAAAGTATTCATTTCTTTCAAAAAACCTTACTAAACTTTTAAATGTAGTGTACATATTTAAAAACAGATTTTTAGATTTCATGCAAAACAATGCTGTTTAATACATTTCATTGATCCTGTTAGTAGCTGTGATTCAAATTTCGAATAAATTACGCACATAAAGTAAGCAATGTGACAAGAATGCTCTTTAATAATCACTCAGTCTGTCAGTGTAGCTGTTTATACTGCACAATAAATATCTTATTTACACTGTGTTTACATCTTGTTGATTTATAGTGGAAACATTCTTTGCACGTTTTTGATAGAACGACAGTAGATCTAAATCAATGCTGTAACTGATACTTTCCATGATTAATTCATGACTAATTGTAATCTGGATCATTTTTCTGATTAATTGTGTTACCCTTGTAGTAACCGTCTGTGGTATCAAGTGTATTTAGAGCTCTATCTGTGTGGAAACTATGATTTTAGTAAGGGGTGTGTATGGAGATGATCACAGGTTGAGTGTTTTCTGTTGACGTAGCAGCGCAGGCGGCTTTATTCTGTCAGAAGCATTCTGCTCAACAGCAGAGAGTGGCCTTCAAACCGCCATGTCAGGCTTTCCTGCAGAGTGCAGGAGCACAGCTGCAAACCCATTCCACACGTAGCATGCACCTCTATCAGGACTGAATCTGAGCTGTTGTTTACTGATGTTAGCTGAGATATTTAAACTAGTTTAAAGGTTGACAGACATGGAAACACCCAGCTCTGCTTTGTTGGCATAGTGAAGCTGTAAAGAAGGCCTCTCATGGTTTTGTTTATTTTTAGGGTCTTCAATGAGTTCGCCTGAAATCTGAAGCCAAGTGAAGAATGTTTGAGTGCTAATTATAAGGACATTAGGTCAGTGTCCTTTATATCAGGAAAATTACTGCTTTGTTCAGAGTGGTCAAAAGCCAGAAAGACTGAAAGACATAAATAGACTAAGAAGTGCTTCAGTTAAAGATAAAATGTAATCATGTAGATACGAGATGCATTCTTCAGCACCTTAAAACTGAAGTATATAGTGATGTCTGACTTGTGAATTGAATTGTTCTTCTGCAACACAGCCTCATTGAAAAAAAAACCTACATAGCCTATACCCACACTTTTCCAAATTTCAAAAATATACCTACACATAGATACAATTCACTGTAGTGTAGGAAAAAACAACTACTTTTATTCCTTTTAACACAAAATATGACTGTAGGTGCAGATTAAGGACTTATTTTAGCATGGTTCTTTGCACAATACTGTATTATGACCTGAAAACACGTTTACCGTAGTATGTGATTTGTAAACTAATACATATTGACGTTTACGTCATCTCACAAGCAATTCCATATCTATGGGATTTCTGATGTAGTAAACTTGCTCGGCAGCTCACCTGGTACAGCTTTACACTTGCAATGCAGATCACATGAGTCCTGTGAAACATGAGTGACAACACTCGATAAATGAGATCAAAGACTTGTAGAAGCAAGCTAAAATGGCATTGTTTTGCATTTTTATTTCATGTTTGCTTTTGTTAAGTTTAGGTTTAGGCAGGGTAGAGTTTAGTATAGGTGGTATATTATTTTCAAATGCATTCAAATTGCATTTAACACTAATCAATGCAAGACCATTAAAACCATTGTCTGGTGAGCGCCACTTATCGGACATTTATTTTCCGAAGTGCCAAGATATGTACAACCAATGTAATAAGACACTGCCAGATTCACATTCTGTCCCAATTTGTTTTAGATAAAACTGAACACACGTTGAGCATGACTGACTAGACATTTCACTTTGAAAGTGTTGCAAAACATGCAAGAATATCATTTTGCAGAAATATTTTCACAGGTACGTTTCTCCAACAAGCTTGGGCTGTTATATTGAGTCGGATCTTTTGAGTGAATCAGCTGAAACGGTTCACCACACAATTCATTCACAACTCAGTCTGAAATCAGGTTCTCAAGTCAGCACAGATCTCAAGTTAAACACATAGTCCTGCTTTCCATCAGAACACTTTGAGGAGACAATTCAGTTTGAACATGTTGTTTATGCCAGTGATGAACCGAGTCTGCATTGCTTATTAAAAAGTTGGATGCACAATCATTTGTCTTTGTCTTGGGGGTATTCATCTCTGAAAGTGAGGCTTCATACTCAGTCTAGTCGACTGGTTTTAGATTAGTCTCAGTGCTCTGGTAGTCTTCCAGCCCCTGGAGCAGGCAAAAGTAGAACGCCGGCGACAGCTGTCAGAAACCCATCATGGAGCTCTGCTTTTGATGTGTGTGGGAGTGTTCCTCGCAAAACCAGTTAGCTGCCATGGTTAACAAGATTGAGAAAGGCCTGCAGAATCAAAGAAGAAAGGGAATGGAGAGAAAGAATGAGACGGAGCGCAAACCCCTTGCATCCCTCAGCAGTTCTAATCGGTAACACGGCCGAGAGTAGTCATTTGTGGTGAGTTTGTGCACATATGCTTTATCCTTTTGTGCACAAAATGCACACATATGAAAATCCCAGCATGGAAAGAAAGTACATTCCAATTTTGAAATAGTGTGTTTGGCATCTTATGAACCTTGTAACCACATCTGGAAACATTATTCTTGGAAGACAGGTCATTATCCACCAAAGGCAGCATAGAAAACATATTTAGAGTGAGGAAAGGAAACAAAATGAAAAACAATAATTGGAGTGACCAGTTGGACTGTTGCTGTAAATGTCTGGGAATGTAGGACACAAACTTGCGGTACAGTTCAGTCTAATCTCACATTTGGAATCAGTGTTTCCTGCACTACTTTTCAGCAGTGGCAATCCCCCGCTGCTGAGACATGACAAAAGAACTCATAATTTACCTGAGATGTGAATGTGCGTTTTGCAGTCTGTATTGAATGTGATGCAATAAAAAGACCATGTGCTGTGTTATAATGCAGAGAATACGTGTATTTAATGGTGCCGTCCTCATGGACTGTGCTGTCAACAACATGCAATGCAACCAGCGCATTCTGATTCAACAACAACAACTCTTATGAACCGGTTCTTTAATCGTGAATCAAAAACAAACTAAACTTCTTGCACTGAATGTTTCTGATTAGCAAAAAAGAACCAGTTCATAAGAATCATCATTTCATCAGAATTAGACTAAACCGCTTGTGCTGTATGTTTCCTGATGTACTGATTCTTATGAACTGCGTGGTTCTTTTTAGCAAAGAAAAAAGATAGAGCACAGTCAATAGCTATGTTTCCATCACCCTGTTTTTATGCGCATTTTGAAGTATCGCATGAGAAATAAGTGATGGATACACCAAATTTCGAATAAAAATCCCTTATTTTGCAAAAACGTTTTTTACGCTCGCTTGAGGTGGTTTTGACTTGTGCGAAAAAGGATTTATGTGAATAATAGGAGATGGAAATGCATTTGCCGAATAAATTCCTTCATGCCCATCAAAAAAGTCATGTGACTTTGCGCTATGGGATGGCAAAACCTGAGTAACCAGTGGACCGATCTCATTCCACAGCATCTGAAATGTTGTTATGGCCATTGTGAAATGCCAGAGCAAAGTCTGTCGTCAAAGTATTTCTGTATAATTGCCTCCCAGAACTGTTACATTCTGGCATCCACAAAAACAATGCAAGTAATTTATTATATATGAAAATTATTATATTCAGTGTCTTCTACTTTTTTAGTGATATATAGTGTCAGTTTATCAGGAAGTGACAATTTTGTTCTCTTTGGCTCATTGGATGGAAACAGTGCTTATTCGTAAATGTTTTATGCGATATTCCAGTTTGTGCATAAGATAAATTTCTAACTTTGGATGGAAACTTGGCTAATGTAACCTGATTCCCAAATTAATGGCTCTTATGCAGAGGCTCTTTGTGGCAGACAAATGCATTAAATAAACAAACTTAATAAAATTAACAATAACAAAAATGATTCTTTGCTTCATAAGGATGTGATTGGTGCTTTGCACAGATGCATTGCAGCCACTCTCTACCTATCTTTGTCTTTTGTTTTCTTCCTTTTCATGGTAACCACAGTGTCCCTCCCACACACATGCACATATACGCACGCACACTCACACACTGCAGTATAGGATCTCTGAACCCACATGCCGTGTGGTTTGATTTTCTCTGAGAGTACGTGAGAGAGATAAGAAAGAGAAAGAAAGAAAGACAGGGAGGCGTTGGGCCCACTGATTCCATTCTCTTGGTTGAGGAGTTTCCATTTGCACACACAGCCATTTCCAGTGACCAAGGACGACTTTCCGTTTTTACGTTTTAATTTGGGCAGCAGTAAACCGTCAGTGTTCGTCAAGGCTCACGGCTTCTACAGGCTCACTCTGATTGAAGGAGCCTTTCGACGGTAACCGCCACATGCAACCTGCTTCGAATGGAGTCCAGCTTTGAGGGCTTGTGTCCGTCTGCATCGTCTGTATGGAGTACACAAACTGCCTCTTTTGCCCAGTCAGGAGTTAAATCAAGATGACGAGGGTAAGAAATTTCAGGCCTGTGTCTCTGCGGGTCAGAGTTTGCCTAAGTGCAGTCAGTGGTGGTTGTGGGAGCAGGGAGGAGTGCTGGCTGCACAACCCTCACCACAGCGGGGCAGACAGGGGCAGCCCTGGCTTCGGGACGGATGGAAAGAGCAGCGTTGGCTGCCACTGGAGCGCTGTAGGAATTGTTTAGGTATGCACCGATCATTCCGCGAGCAGAAGTTGGCCCCGGACAACTTAAATAGCTCAGTGTGTTGTGGAAAAGACTCCTGGCAGAGACTGAAAGTAGAGATTGTGTAGTTTAAAAAGCAGTTTAAATCTGCCTGATTCAGAGCTTAAGCATCCTCTCTTTCTGTGTGTCTTTTCACACTGTGCTTAATCGTGGTTTATCAGCTTTTTAAACCCCAGGCTAAAGGCACTTTAACCCTGGGCAATGCAACATTCACACTTGTAATTTCTTTCGAATGCTTCTGACCATGTGCTGCAAATCTGTGCCACAAAGTACTATGGCTTTTTGGAAAAGGTAGCATGAATCTACCATGTTTTTTAACATGTACAATGGTACTACCTTTTTAACTTTAACCATGGTTCTTCCATATTTTTGAGCATGTACTGTGGTATTCTTGGAAGTACCTTGGAGTACCATGAATTTTAGTACCATGGTCTATATCAAAGCGTCTATATATTATATTATATTATATTACATTACATTACATAAATCAATTATTTAATATTATAACATAAAAAGTGTCCAAAAAAGGGTCACCATAATTTTGGTGCCAAATATAAACCAGTGTTATTTTGCTATTATTTACATTTATTCATATTTTGAATTAACTTTTATTTTTATATTTTCAGTGTATTTTTTGATGTGCTTTTGTAATTTTTAAAAATAACAACAACACTGATGTAAACCATGTAGAGTTATATTTTCGAGATGTTGTAGCATCAGACAATCAATCATAAACTACACAGTGCTTACCTTATTAATTATGCATGCGCTTTTCATCAAACCGTTACATACTATTTAGTTTCAACACCTGAGAAAAAAAAATTAAAATGTTGAATGGTGTGACAACACAAACAGTAGTACAAATATTGTAATTTTTTATTTATATAATGTTTTTTTATTATTATATATTGTATTTTTGTTTAGTAATATAGGTCATGTGCCCATGGCAAGCTGGATTCATCTGAAGTTATTGACCTTATACTAGAGTCTGAAGCAAGATAACCTAGGATTGCATTTGCCTAGTTTAGCATGTCCCTGTTTAACAATTTCAAGTGTGAAAAGCCCATCTCTCTTCCCGTTCTTTCTAAATGAATGGATTTGCCTGGCCTATTATACGTTCAGAGAACATATGCACACCTTGCCAATATTGCAAATAAAATTCCTTAAGAGGATCATAAGGTTATGCTTTATGCTGAGGTCTGCTCCTGACTCGTCATATTCAATCCGCACTTATTCAAATCAGCAGCAGGGCTGAATGCTAATTTGAGGTTAGTGATATTCACTTGGCAGCCAGAAGGCAGGCCATCCAGCGAGAATCCCTGATCAGATTAAACGTGTCGGAGTCATTGAGAGGAGCGATTGTCAAAGGGTTCTGATACAGGACGTGGAATACGGGGGAAGGACACAGAGTTGATCCAGAATCCAGAGACACTTAAGTCCCTAATCACACATGCACCGGTTGAGCCACTTTGATGGGTGAAATAAGGGGAAAGGAAAAGGAATAAGAGCTCAAGGTAATCTTTGTGACTGGATGTCTGAAGATCACATGCGCCAATATCTCTCTGTGCACCTCCTACGTAAGAACCGATAGCAGAGACCCCACTGTTTTGACAGCTAAATTACCTTCCCCAGCTAATCTACCACTGTGTGCGCACATAGGATCATTGTTTAAAGTGTGAATGCATACCTGCTTACATGGGGGTGTATGTTTAATGAGTGAGTGTGAATACTGCGACAGCAGCTGATCCCCGCTCTGGTCGTGTGGGAGGGTTTGGGGCTTTGTTTGTGCTGTTTTGCTTTGTGTGTGGTTGTGTGTTTACTTGCTGTAGGTGGCATCTTTGTGGAGGTGGTCACGGTGAGATTGATCAACCTTGTAGCCTGATGCAAAACAAAGTTGGAGTTTTTGTTGAAGTTTCTGTTGATTAGCATTTTTTAATGCATAGGTATCATGAACTAGCAATACATTACCATTTTATAGCATTTATTAATCTAGATTAATGTTAAGTTATATTTATATTTATTAAATATATATCATTTATTATTTAATGTCAGTGTTAATTCATAATACATTAATGTAACATTTCATGTTAGCTATTGTATTAGCGATTGTTAAAAATGTAAAAATATAAATAGATAATTCTAGAAAAATATTTTTATATATTTTTTTAATAATGTAAATAAATGTTCCTATAAATTCAAAAATATACCACCCATACAATTTGCATAATTGTACTAAAAAACGATATTGTTCAAAGATATTGTGTGCGTGTGGGTGTGTGTGTGTGTGTGTGTGTGTGTGTGTGTGAGAGAGAGAGAGAGAGAGATGCATATATACACACACAATTAAATGATTTGCATGTTTGTGCAAAACAGCAGGTCATTATATTATTAGTACATTATATTATTCACAGCATACCATATTGTAGTCTCATTTTATTTTATAAATCACACGTGTGGCCACTTCACTCCTTGTCCCATCTAGATTGCCGATATCATTTAGGATCATAATACAGTCTATTCTTAACTTAAGACTTAAAACTGGAAGTTTCTGTAATAAGGCCTCATTAGGGTAAAAAAAAAGATTCTGAGATTGTTAGTAGGTGCACAGATTGTGACTTACAAGCAAGATCAGAGAAGTGTTTGCAATGGAAACACAAGCACTTCCATTGTTATTAGAGTTTACTTCAGGAGCACACCTGTCTTTGATTTTATTGGCTTAAAAGACATATCAGATCAAATGATTGTTCTTGCTATTTCAATCATTTTGCAGTTGTCCTGTAACTCCTTTCCTCTCTAGCTAATTGTATTTCCTCTCCAAACTCAACTGTGCTTTCATTTGGGGTTTAGAGAGTTCATTTTGGACCAGGTTTGTGTTGCACTTCTGCTGTCACCTGGATGACATAAGTTGACCCGTCTATGTCTGTCTGTCTGTTTCTGCGCAGGGTGTGATCGGTATGTCCGTGGATGAGAAGTCTGAAGCTCCCATGTACGTGTATGAGTCAACGGTGCACTGTACCAACATCCTGCTGGGTCTGAATGAGCAGCGGAAGCAGGGCCTGCTCTGTGATGTGACCATGCTGGTGGAGGGGAAGGAGTTCCGCGCGCACAGGGCTGTCCTAGCAGCCTGCAGCGAGTACTTCCTACAGGGGTTCGTCACCCAAAGTGACAATGAACTGGTTCTCAGCATGCCAGAGGAGGTATGGATAAATACATTTTTATCATGCACATTAATGGTCCAATAAATTACTGAGAGGTTGCCAGGTCACTGGTGAATACACTACCATTCAAAAGTTTTGGGTCAGTTATATTTTTTAAGCAATATTTTTATTTAGCAAGGATGCTGTAAATTGATCAAAAGTGACAGAAAGAAATGTATAATGTAATGTTATATAACTAAGTTATTTTACAATATTACTGTTTTACTGTAATTTTACTGTATTTTTAATAAAGTCAATTAGACTTCTTTCAAAATACATTACAAAAACATTAAAAAATCTTACAGACCCCAAACTTTTAAATAATATTGTATGTTTTAGGTGGGCCTCACAACATAGCATTTGAAAGTATCGCTAGTAAAAAATTCCTGACATGGTTTTTCATGCATCACTTTTCCAGTATACTAACATCATGATGTACAGTAAAGCATGACTATAATCACCACTCATCACCTGTCTACCTAGCATATGGCAGCGGCCATTATTTTACTCATCTTTATGAGCAAAACCGTGTCTCTCTAACACACACTCATACACCTACATGAGCAGTAGTTTGTCTTCTCTCACAGCCCAAAATGCACATTTAATGAACTAGCATCTGTTGCATTAACCCTCCATCTCTGCTCTTCGGCTCATGGATCTAAAATTAAGATGCAAAGTTTCTCGAAAGCAAAGCATTAGCATAACAAATGGATGTATTTATTATGGTTTCTATTACGTAGCTGAGTAAGAACAGTGTGATTTTAATGAGACGTACTTGATTCATTTCCTCCTTTTAGACTGTCAAGTAGCAATTTAGTGTTTTAATGACATGTTTAAAGTTCATATCAACTGAACAAAAACAAGGCAGCGATTTCAATGAAAGTAAAGCTGGCAAGCTAGTAAGCATATAGCAAGCAATACACGCAGCTATTAGTGAACAAAGCAAAACTATGACGATTTTTTTTTCCTAATACTTAAACAAGACTCACTTGTGACAATTTCAGATTTGAAAATTGTCTGAAGTGACAAGCATTATTACTTGTTATTTTAGCACATTAATGGATTAGAGAATTGAATATTATATAGGGCAACAGTTGGGTTCTGGAAGTAAAAAATAAAATAAAATTAGCATAGGGAAATAGATTTTTAACAATAAATTAACAGACCTATACTATGTACTATGGCCTACGAGGTTGTTGAAGCCGCCCGTCCACATTGTTTCAATGTATTTTTTATTTAATCATCTTCAGCAGAGGAAATTGCTGGTGAAAAACTACATTTCCCATGGTTCTGCACTGAAATCTCCACCAATAAGAATTAAAGCAGTCAAATCATGCCAGAAGAACACTTTAGCATCTGCCAACTCCCATAAAACACTGTGAATTTCCCTATGGTCTTTGTAAGCATATTGCAATAGACGGAAATTACATGGTTTCATTTTATATGATTGCTACCTTCAAATCAATATGTTTTTATTATTTTTTTTAATAAATTAATAATTTTTTATTTGGTTATCATTATATTATAGTGGGATTATAGTTTTTAACCTCATTAAAACCATCTTTTTGTCCGATTTTTTGAATACATTTGTGCTTTAAATCAGAGTTTGTAATGTTGTGATTGATCTTATTGCTGATTGGTTTGGTTCTTGGCTTATAATAATTTCACAAAGACTTTTTTAAAAACCCTATGGGACAAATTAATGAGAAAAATACTACCGAAACAAAGGCTTCTGCACTCTTCCTCTAGGTGTGTTAAAGTACGATTATGATGTGAGTTTCAGTGGAACTGAACAATTAAAATCGTGGTCTAAGGGCATGCTAAGATTTTGTGGTTGCCGTACACATTATCACAGAAATGCACATAAACACACCCCTGCTTTCCAGGCTCTGGAGTGATTGAGTTTTCCACAGAGGTGTTAATGTGGCATAAGAACACCTCCAGTCAGGTATTCACACCTCCCGCTCATACATTCACTATCTTGTGAGCACGCACATGCACATCTTCAAGTGGGACACTTGTAACGCCTGGGAAGTGGGATATGACCAGTGATGTTATTGTTAACAATTAAAATATGTTTAATTGAAATACAGCTGAAATGAAACATGAATATGAAATTAAAAATTAAACTTAAAACTGAAATTATAATTAGAAATTTTGCGATGAAACTGAAATAAATAAGTTGGAAGTGCTAAAATTACTAAAACAGACATTTAAATACATTTAAAGATATATACAAATATTTTTTGAAAATAATAAAAATGACAACCGCACATAACAAAATTATTAAAACTTTAAAATTGAAATGAAGACTGAAAATATAAAATAGATGCTAATTTAAAATATTAATAAGTACTATAATAGAATATACACTGGTTATTGTTGAGAAGTATGTATTTATTACCCATACTATGCCAGTCGAAGAGTGTTGGCATTGCCTTTCTGTCATTGAGGAATGTTAAAAATAAGGAAGCGATGTGTTAACAGGTTTGTCTGTGCAGAATTGTGATTTAATATGATTTAAAAGAGTTGTAAAGACTTCCAACAAAATGGAACACTTCCTTCATTCACATCTTGCCTCCTTCATCAATTATTCATCAGTCTTTCACTCTGATAGTCTGGTGTGAGTGTGAACGAGGAGGGAATTACATCTTTCAAAGATAAAAAAAAAAAAAGAGTCTGAGGATTTGATAAAATGCCTATCATCACCTCAGATGTGACAGAAAATGTGTTGCTGTCTCTTACTATTAATAGCGGTAAATGTCACGCATATTCCAGATAAGTTTCATTTAAAGGCACAATATGTAATTTTCGCCGCTAGAGGGCGCGTATTCAAAATAAACAAATAGACAAATGTGTAATTTGTTGACGCCGTGACTGAGTGTGGAATCATGTGAGTTTTCGTCTTCATCCCCACAGCCGATGCAATCCGACGGGACTCGGGCAGAAATCATGTTCATGGATGAGCTAATGTCCATGTTTTCTACAAAACAAAACCGGAAATTGAGGGGTTATGACGTCTTTGGCAGGCGACACAATGACACTATGGACACGGTCCGTGTCACTAGTTAAAATTACTTATTTCTCTGGATTTAAACATTCTTCGAAACATTTGGGATAATGTAAGTACACAAGTCAGCAAAATATATAACACTGTTCTAGTGGTTTTTGGATATTTTAATAAAAAAATATTACATATTGTGCCCTTAATGCTTTTTTTTCAATAGCACAGAAAAATGAGGCGCATTTCATATTTCAGTTACAGAGCCTTCCGTGTTGTTTTGTAATATGATGAATGATTTGTTTTGTCATGTTGATTCAAAGTCTGCAGCTCTTGAAAGACTCAGGCGGTGTATCTGCTGTGCCGTAAGTGTGTGTAGACTTTGTGCTCTGTGTGTCGCACACATACGCAGCAGCATCCAGTGATTTCAGCTCAGCATTCAGGGTTTGCTGAACATCGCCCCCTATATGTCTCAAGAGGCAAGTGACGGTGGAGAAGAACGGGAGGGGGGGTTAAGCTGAGGTGGGGGTGTGCTGGTGGGGTGGTTGATGAAAAAAAATTCACTGCAGATGAAATGTGAAACAAAGAGCACCACCACCACCTCCTTCTCTTCCCCCCCCACATCCACCCCACCCCTCCCAGATGACCTTGTTATTGTTGAGTCGTGGGGACCGCATGGGGTTTGTGACATCATCTGTGTTAGCCAGGGAATGTTGAGCAGAGGGAGAGAGAGAGGTCCTTAATCGGCTCTTTGTTGGGAATCAGATCATGAAGAGAGACAGAAAAACAGCCTCCCCCTCAACCCCCTACGGAGAAGGAAGAAACCCTATATTAGACTACCAGGATTCCCATACCAAGATATCCATGACAAATTTACTGTCTGCAGTGTCTTTATACAAATAGATTTTCTTTAAAGCTTTTTAATGCCTAAAAAATAGAACTTGATATATAGGACGTTTTTTATGTCTTGAGTGTGATTATCAGGTTAATTTGGTTATTATGCCACTAGTGGATATTATTTGACTTTCATATTAAAGGTTTTGCTTTGATGATGATCTTGGATTCCCTCCAGCCACAGTCATTAAGAGAGAAAAGTGCATGTTAGATCAGTGCTTCTCAACAGCTTCTGCTCCTTTATAGATTTTATATTGGATAACTAATGGCAGCCAACAGAGAACTAAAATTGTTAATGTACAAAATTGACTGAATATTTTAAATGTATTAAAATGACTGAAGAAGGCTCAACAATATGCAAAAATATTAACATGATATAGACTCAGTAATTTACAACTCATTTGCCAGCCTAATGCATGGAATAAACACTGGGCCAAATATTTTCTTAATATTAATCATGTTACCAAGTGACAGATGAATTTGCACCAAAATACCATACAGTTTCTTCTTTTACAATAAATTATACTAGAAGCTTTTTCTCCCTTTTTATGTTGATAAGCCTATTTATTTTGCTATGCAAGCTTATTTGCATGAATTCCATACATGATTAGCTGCATTTTATTATTTGTTTTTAGATGTATGCAACCCATTTTGAAGTCACAACCACTATCTATCTATCCATCCATCCATCCATCCATCCATCCATCCAGAACACACATACACATTGCCTGGATTTTTGTAACTGTTGTCTGATTTTATTTCTGATTTGAAATATATTTGAAATGTAATCTTAAACACTTTCATTAATTTTGGTCTGCACTTGTATTGTATATTGTTGGTAAACTGCTAATTAACTGCATAAAAGAAATAACTGCCAAGGGGTGTTACCAAGATGGCTGCCAGGACTTTGGCTGCAATTCACCAGTTGAGGTCCGCTGCACTAGATGCACAGAAGGCTGCAAATTGGCCTTATTAACTGGCGCTTTAGGATTTGAGTGCTGTCAGCATCCAGTATGAATGGCCATCCGTCACATGATGAAACCGTGTGTAAGTGTTAGGTTTGTCAGTTTATATCTGACCCAGATATTTGCTTTCAGTTCGCTCT